AAGTAGATAAAACATAGAAGCATACTTGAATTATTTCCCAACCTTCGGGGAGATGAGCTACGAGACCTTCCCTAGCGATCCAAAGTAGTTCAGGCTCTGTTTCGGCATCGATACCCAAGCTGGAGGCATATAATTGGACATCTTCGTCAGTATGAGGATAATCATATTCAGTAAGAACAGTAAACTTAGCTCCAAATGGAGCTAAATTATTCTTATGCATAAATAAGTAAGTGACAAACAATAACTTTAAAGTGATAAAAATGAGACTAAAACAGTGGGGATAAAAACCATAAAATGCGGAATAGCATAAGATTGATGAAAGTGGTTAGTAAAACGAGAAATACCTTGATTAAAAAAGAAACAATAATGAAGTTGCAATATAAAAAAGATAATATACGAAAAAATAGTATAAGAATAGTCAGCTGAAAATTTTTGAAAGCCAAAAATATGGTACTAATTCTAGAAAAAATATATTTGATCTTACCTACGAACATTAACTAATAAAGTATTCGAAACTAGTCACAAAAGGTTGCTTAAGGTCATTTAAGATGAATTAGATTTAAAGATCAGTTAAAGAAAGCTTATATGAGGGGCAAAAAGTGTTTAAGAAGATAATGGAATTTAACGTTTATGATTATGAGCTTGTTTATGCTGGTATAACAAACATATTCTATTATGAAGATATGAAGACCAAGATGGTGTGGTTGCAGTCTCCTTTCGTTGTATAGAAGTTGTTAAACCTTGTTTTGTCAACTTGGTCATAATGGTAGGAAGACTTATAGAAACGCACTTTGTCCTGAGTCCATTGTATGCATCGTCATTTCCAGCGTAGGACCGTGGACGCAGTACATTCCCAGACGTTTCGCCGGCATCTTACTCGGCATCATCAGTGAGTTTTACCATTCGTAGCACTATAGTACAACTCGTCAAAGAGACAAGTATAGCCGATCCTTTGTCCAAACGTGTGCTAAACAGTTATGGTATCTCCCATTTTGCTCTGATTTATTTATACTTCCTTTCTCCTCCAACCACGCCTTTACTGTCACAAAATTTTACTTGCTTAATTAAATTTGGTCATTGTGCCTTTTTTTTATAGCGGTCTCATGAGAACTCTCCGCACTCCATGCTGGCCTTCTCACCGCCCTTCATCCTTGTGCTGGGAATGTTGATCTGAGTCTGCTATATTTTTACGCATTCCTCCTTCCCTAGGTCTTACCCCAGTCTCTCTCTTGCCCCGTAAGATCCGTCTGCCCTCTCTCTGGTTC